ACGGGGCGCCCAGAGCGCTGGAGGCTGCCCTGGTGCCACTGCAGGGCAGGGGTGACACCGTGCGGCAGGGAAAGGAATCGGCTCAACGGGGCGACGTCGGCAGCTGGCAGCAAATGCCTCCGCGGGAATACAGAAACTGGCTGGGAATGTGTCTGAGAAAGCACTCGCCTTTGTGCTGGCCAAGGCAGCCCGCGTCCCCCATTTGGAGAGGCCCTAAACGCCCCAGTTCCATTCCCTCATTTCTCTGGCTGTGTTTTTAGCCATGCTAGTGGCCTTAGTGTAACGCTGTGAAGTCTGTGCTGGCAGGAGTTCATCTCCCGCCTTGGCGACCCATTGGCTTTTATCGGCCAGGTGGGGGGAGCGGGGAGAAGGGCATCCTCAGGGCTGCTGCGCCATCCTGCTGCCGCAGGGAAAAGCAGGAAGAGAACCACCCGCTGAGCACGGCTGTGAAAGAAACCCCCTGGGCCTGGGCCTAGCCCGGCTCCCCGGGAAGAGTGGGCAGGCAGGGTGAGCCGCAATGGGAACGCAGATCTGCAGCAGCTGAGATTGGACCCCCAGAGAACAGCGCGCACCTCGACACGCAGCCTTTCCGAGAAGGTCACAATCGCTTGTGGTCATGGCATGGCCCAGGGCACTTTCCGCACAGGGCAGGGCTGGAGCTTTGTCCTGGGTTTGTGCAGCCTGTAGCCTGCCGGGAACCCTAGAACTGCTGCAACACAAACAAGTAATAATCCTAGGCCCAGCGTCCTGGGCGGTTCTGCTCCGGAAGGCAGATCCGTGCTGGGGCACAGTACGCAGACGGCCCAGCCCAGGGGGAGGAGGCGGCTTTAGGTCACCTGGTGTTCTGCAAAGGCCACTTCAGCCCCTGGCACATGTAACAGCCACCTCCCTACTGCTGCCTAAGGGCTGTGGTACCCCCAGGGTCCCTGCAGGGCTGAGTGCTGTGGGCACCCTCCGCCCCTGGCTGCCCTCTATGCAGGGATCGGGGGGCAGGGGGAGATAGAGTTACTAAAGTTACTAAAGTTACATCGACCCTGCACAGCTCCTGCCCCAGGGGAATAGAAATCTCCCCGCCCCGTCTTCTTTGCAGCCTCTATGTGCTGCCAGTGCCAGCCCCACTTTCTTATATCCCCCTTGCAGCTTCCACAGGAAGCAACATTCATCCCTTCCTACTTAAAATGTTGTACAGTGTTGCTGTGCATTGCTGAAGGGCTGCCATGTTCCACCCCAGAGGTGGCTGTATTTCTTTAGTGGGTGCCGCGGTCTCTATATATTGCTTCCACCTGCTGGTCCTATGTCCAATAGCAATCATGACCATAGACTGTAAACGGCCCCAGGAGACCTGCCTACTAAATCCATTCACTAATGTTCTTTCCTTAGCCACACAAACCCATTGCTGCCAGTAAATTATCCCAAGCCGCAGTGAGCAAAGACGTCTCTGGCCCCAGTGTGGTGAACGCTTTGCCACAGCAAACAAGAAATCTGCCCTGTGGCATTCTTGAAATCAGCAAAATAAGGTCAAGGCGGCACCGACTACGCGGGACGCACAGCATCAGATTGCAGATGGTTTCACCGGTGAGCTTCTGCTGCCAGTGCCACACGCTCAGCCTCTAGCAGAGGAAGGAAACGCAGCCAAAGGAAAACAGGAGTCTCATGTTTGAATGGGTAGAAAATCCGCCCGAGGCCTGCCGTGCTCTAACATTTGGGGTTGGGCGGGGCCTGCGCTCTCCCAAGCACTACACAGGCTACAGGACTGAATCATTTACCAACGGCACTGCTGGACCGCAGCCCTGTTCTAACCAATCCAACGCAGGGAACTACTGCTCTGTGTCTAAATCTCTGCCCACCCACCCCCATCTCCTAGCATTACTGGCACTAGGGTTCGGGTGGGAGGAGACCCGGAGATCTGTGGAGTCCAGTTTCCAGGGACTGCGTCCCCCTATCTGCATTGTTACACAACGTGAGCCTTGTTTACCAGGCCGGCCCAATGGCGGCAGTCCTGACTAGGTGAAGCCCTGGCATTGCTGTTGTACAGGACATGTCCCTCTGGGGGGAAGAGGGGCTGATGGATTTGTATTCACATGGAGCGAAGTCATGTTTGAATGGTGTAACCGTGCGGACAATAGAATTACAAGGCTACCCAGCAAGGCAGCAGCGAGCTGAAGCCACTGTTTACAAGATCTCCTACAAAACAACAATCGCCCGTTCCCAGAATCCAAGCAGAACACTGATATGATTGAAACGAACAAAAAATGCTTCCACAATGCAACTTCCTGGCACTGTTCTGGGCAGGGAGAGGTTATTTTAAGCACTGCCATGCTCTGGAGGCCCAAGGAGAGGGCCGGAGTGCGAAAGACCCCACTGTCTGAGATGGTCTGGAGAGGAGCAGAACCGTGGGCCACGGCCACTCTGGGGATGGCTGTCCCAGCGAAGCAGCTCGGGCGCCGTGTCAGCTCACAGTGACATTGGGACACTACTAGTTGAGGGAGCTACTCGGGAGATCGCTGCCTTTCCTTTCCATTGGCAGCTCAGTGTCAGGGCCCAGTGCCGGAGCTTTGCCGAGATTTGGTGACAGGCGCTGACTGGGAGCTAAGGCCGGCTCTTCAGCTTCACTGCCCATTACAGCGCCTCACTCAGCCGACTGCCTCACTTTGCCTCCAAATGTCTTGTGACTCCTCCCAAAACAATCCCCATTCGGTCTTTAGAACACTCCCGGGGCAGGAGTCTACAGGCCATGCCCCTGAACCAACGGGCACCCCAGAATCCCACCCCTGAATATCCCCAGAGCTTTGGTAGAGTTTAATCAGGTCCAGCTCAGAGATTTGCCTCAGGCCTGCCCCCTTGGGCTGGGAGTAGCACCTGCTGCCTTGGGAAAGCTTCACAAAACAACCTATTCAATTCCTGCTGCTGTAAAAAATTAAATAAAATTTAAAAAATCACTAGACCCCCTGACCCTCAATTCCTGTGAAACAGGGGAATCAGCATGGCTCCCCAGACAGATCCAGCTGTTGTAACTGCTTACTGACTTCAGCAGATTCATACCCAGGATGAATTTGACCCAAATCCAGCACAGTCCTCTGGGGGTGACACCCCCACTTCCCCTCACCCCGTACTCCAAACAAGTCATGGTGGGGAGGGGGGAATCCTTCTGCACTGAATAATTTTTAAGTAATTGAGTGTGATACTTCCTGTAGGTCCCACATAAACAAATCTGTGGCCACATGCAGCAACGCCAGGGGATGCACATAAACTGCTTGGTTTATGTTTGGCCCAGAGGAAGGGACAGGAGAGCTATTTTAAAGAAAAAAGCAGTGATTTGCATGAAGACCAGACTCTCTCCCAGACTCTGCAATGTGTGTGGGATGGAAGGGGGGCTTGGAAGGTGGGACAGGGTGGGAGGGTTGTGGGGGTCAACAAAGATCCTGTCCACTTCCCCCTTCAGCGAACTAGAGTTGGAGCAGCCTGCCGAAGAGCAAGCTGGTTGCAGCTCCTCTGTGGCTCTTTCGGGTAATGTTGGTTGCTAACTTGGCTCCTGAACCACTGAGGTGTGAGTGTCACTGATCTGGAGCCTGCAGAACCACATCTGGGTCAGCAGCAGCGGGGGACTTGTGGGGGGAGGTACCCACCCCCGGCTGGCGTCGGGTGGCAGCAAATTGCCCTGTCACGCGGCAGCTGGGCAGGCCCACGCCCGACTCTGGTCTAGGCAAGCACAGCAGGATGGGCAGCTGGTCAAAGCCCAGGCGATGTCCCCCGTCCTCCTCGGGCAGCTCAACCACTGCCCTCTGCCATCTGGCTCAGGAAGCAGGAAGGCAACTCAGCAGGGCGTGGTTTCCGGGCCTGGCCAGAGGGCCCGTTGGGGCTCCATGGAGATGCTGCTGGCCGAGGAGTCCCCTGGCCCTGGTGACCTGCCCAGGGCCCACCTGACAGCGCTGCTTTTCCTCCCAAAGGCTGAGGAGAGACTGTCTTGCGGATAATCCCACCGTGTAACATTTTCCCATTACACTTTGGGCTTCCCCGGGCGCTGGCTCTGCTGGTCGTTGCCTGCCACGGCCCTGGCGGTGAGGAGTCCAATCCTCAGCCCACAGGAGACAGGCTGGGGTGTTTCCTCACCTCCAGTGCGCTCCGGCTACTCCGGCCCTGCTCCTGCTGGCATCTGCGCTGCGGCGCCAGCCACATGCCCCGGCGGGAGCTCGAGGCAGGGAAAGAGCCCGGGAAGCAAGAGCGGTGCCGAGACACTGGGCAGGGCAGGACCCCCAGGAGAGCTGGGCAGCAGTGCCAGGCCCTTCCCCTCCCCCCAAGGAGCTGGGCAGCAATGCCCCTCCCCCACCCCGGCTATGGCAGGAAATTCCCCCGGTCTGGAGGCCAAGGCTGCGGGTGCCGGCACCAGTTAGTGTCCCTGGGGAGCAGGCAGCTCTCCGTTAGAGTCTGGGCCGAGACCCATTCAACCCATTTCCACCAGGCCAGCACACAGCCACCAGGAGGGGTGGCTGGGGGGGATCTGAACTGGGGCGCTGGGAGTTCCCATCTCCCAGTGCCTGGGCTCTGAGCCGCCCTGTGCCCCGGGCAGAGGCTTCTAAGGAGACCCAGTGCTGAGCCTGCAGCTCCTCGCCCAGACAACAGTTGAATTGGGGCAGCTTTGTCTCCCCCTCTCTTGCCTTCCTCGTGCCCAGCTCCAGGTCTGTGCCCCCGGGAATGTGCGGGAAGGGGGGGGGACCTGCCACAGGCCAGTGACTCGGGATCCTGCTCTGTGCACAGACTGGTGGAAGCCAGATGCCGCAGGGTGGATTCCTCCCAGCCCAGGGCGTCACACCAGGCCCCCTGCACCAGTTACACCCTTTGGTTTGGCCCCTTATTAAGGGCTTCAGTGGTGTGAGGGGCCTGCAGGGTCCCTCTCTGCTGGGCAAATTTCAGCCCCACTGTCTATTCCATTCGCTCGGGTTGCCTCTTGGAACGTACCTGCAGGCCCCACCCTGGAGTGACCAGCCAAGCAAACTACCTACCTCCAGCTCCTTAAAGAAGATGCAGCTCCGTGCCCACTCCACAATGGAGAAGAGGGTCTGGTCTGCCATCTTGCACATGAGGCCAAAGGTGCTGAGTTTCTCATGCCGGCCTTTGCCCTGCTCCTGTTGCAGACAAGCCAGTATCCGCACCTTGACCTGGGGCTCGTCGGGCTCCAGCTGCAGCAGCTTGAGAATGACCTCAGGGATGTCGGGTGGGGCGCTGTTGGGATAGGCATCTGGATACATGTAGCTGGCCACGGACTCGTGGGAATTTGTGTAGTGGTCGGGGTACTCTGACTTGATGGTGCGGTTGGGAAAGGAGGGGTAATGGTAGCTGGACAGCGCCCCGTGGCTAGGCACAGTCATTCCCAAGGACGGCGTCCCATACGGACTTCTGTCATAGTCGACTGGCGTCATAGTGGCCGGGTTGGGAGGCAGGCTCTTGGACACCGAGTGGATGCCGTGGATGGTGGAGGACAGGTTGTAGTCAGTTTGCACTGGCGATACGATCTGAGGCACAGTCTCCAGCTTAAAGCCGTTGGCGCGTATCAGAGCTTTCTTCTGCTGTTTTAAGGCACGATCTCGCTTGTACATGGGGCCGAATTTATTTCTTCCTCCTCGCATCCGGTCCGCTCGCACAGCTGTGGGGCAGAGAGAAAGAACGGCCTTTGGAATTCAACTGAGCCCAAGGGAGCCTTATCTTCCCAAAAGATCATGGCAAATAACCCTGAGAGCTCTGTCCAGATAGACTGGGGGGAAGGGGATGGTGAGGAGGAGGAGGGGAAAAGGCCGGATAGTGGTGAAACAATGCATCTTGTCCTGCAGCCGTTCCATCATGGGAGCGATGGATGGCTGCATCAGGACACAGGGGTCCTGGTGCAGAGTCTCTCCTGGGGACTGTTATGCTGCCTCTGACCAGCCAGTAGGGGGTGCTGTCCTAGTGAGGCGGCATCACGCCCTCGCCCTGGAACACTAAGAGCATCAGGCTGAGAACACGCCCAGTTCCTGAGGCCCCGTCCTCCATGACTGAGCTGCTTCTTTCCCGGGGTCTAGATATGTGTCACAGACCTGCCCCCCAGCAGTAAGGCCATCTTCAGCCACTCCCTGCATTGCCACTCACTAGCCATCACATCAAAGAGTTTCAATTTGCCGAAAACTATATCTCAGCAGCGTTGCCTAAGTCTCACTATTTTATCACAAGTCTTGCAATATTGGTGCTTTTCTTAAAGCCCAAGATCCTGGAGTCAGGTGAATACATGAGAATCTCATCTTCCATGTAAAAAAAAAAAGGGAAAACAAATTCATTTTCTAGTGCTCATTCTTGCAGAGAAATGCTTGAAAATGTGAAGTCAGGAGGCAAATAAAAACAACCCCAAGTTACTGTTTTTTAAAGTCTCAAGATTTTTAAACATAACCTCACAATTTGCTGGATCTTGACTCGTGATTTTTGAATGACTGGGAGTTGCAATAGTGTCTCGGTGAGACTTTGTTGAATTGGATCCAGTCGTGCACGCCTTCCTGTCAGTCCCTTCCAACACGACCATTACACGCAAGACAAGTGGTCAAGCGAGTGCTCCAAAACATATGGGCCAAATCTATAGTTGGTGTAGACCAGCCTAGCTCCATTGACTTCAACTGGATTATATTGATTTGCACCAGCAGTGGGCCTGGCCCGGTGTGTGTGTTATTAAAAACAGCTTAAAACTCTGCCCAAGGAGTCTTACAACAAGCTCCTCACACTAACGGGCCCATTAGAACCTCTCCCCTTTCAAAGAAACAGATGTTCTCTCTGGACCCCAAAAGAAACACAAGAATGTGTCACTGCTCTAGGAAACAGGTGCTTCTTTGTTTCACAGGATCATTCACTTTCCTCTGTGGCCATTCCCAAGAGTGTTTTTGCCTTAAAAAAACACTCTTGGAAGAGCCTCAAATAGCTGAACGCTCCGCGTTGGAGATCTGCACAGACGGACATGAGAAAGGCTGGGCGGCTGGTGACCCGAGTGCTTGGGAAGCCACGGAAAATGTGTACAAAAGGGGAAAGCAACTAGCTTTGCCACCCCACTCTGAGTGGAGAGTTCAAGTGTTTGTGCTTCAGCTGTTATTTCTGCAAAAGGCCTCTCACTAACCTTTCCTTTCACTGCAGCCTCAGAAACCCGCTTTAGCAACCTTCACTGCACAACAGAACCACAGCGCTGGCCAAGTTTCTCAGAGACTGGCTGGGAACATGGGAGCATTCAGTAGGGACTGAAAGCCAGCCAGGAGGCAGGAGATGTTTGCAGAGACTTTCCTTGAAGGGGCACTCACACTCCATGGAGAACGGCTCTCTCTAGAGAGAATCCTGTTTCTCCTCCCTCATTCCTTCTTACCTAGGGATATTTGCATGGAAACAGCCTCTCTGGGGGGCTGGCTGGCTAAAGGCAACAATGTCTGTGGAATACAGAACACTTCACCTCTCGGTCACTGTTTGAGATCCCACCCGATTTACCCTCCAGTGGCTGGGCAGTAGATTATATGGCTCACAGAGAGCATGTAAAAACCACCTCCACCGTCAGCACTAACCTGCGCCCTTGGTGGCAGCCTCCACAGAAAGGCAAAGCACTGAATGAGCCAGAGAGACCGAACTCCCCTTCCACACTTATCCTTTGTCTGCACTACAATGGTTTGTTCCCATTTCCAGCACATAACACAGTGTAAAAGCCCCAGTACAAAGGGAGCATTCAGGTACTTCTACCTGCTCAGAGCAGGTTTTCATGCCCATCACTGCTAGAGAATGGCTAGTGAAGACACCCTTCGAAATGATTCCTGCGACACAGGCTTGTGGCACAGTGGGGTGTGCAGAGGAAGTTTGCACAGCTCCTACCGGGGCTGTACCTGTGCAGTGCTGTAGAATAAATAGAGGCGTGCAGGCCCCAGAGCACTCAGTGTGGCATCTTTCACAAGCGGGAAATGAACGCACCCTTTTCTCTTTAAAAACAAGCACCCTAAGAGAGAAGACGTGCTTTGATTCTCATGCGTTCCCCTGTGCCTACTATTTCTGCCTCACCTGGGATCATAAACACCTTGCTGTTTGCTGCATCCCAACTGGGCTCTTGTGCTGCCACAAACACAAGATTCTGATCTCAGGTGGGAAACCGAGGGCAGGGCAGACGGACTGGTCAGAAAAGCAAAGATCCTGTATTCATTCAAATGTCTCCAGGAACAAAATGAAACAGGAAGTACAGATGCCTCCAAACTAAGGACAGACAAAAATGATGGAGCCTGAAATTTTCGCAGCTATTTAGACTGTTTCTTGGATTCCCAACCCAGTCGGAGTTCCTGAATCTTTTTGGCTGGAGTTTAACACACACTCCAACCCCATTCACCTGCTCTCACTCTCTTTCACATACACACGGCACCTTAAAAAACTCAGCTCTAGCTAAGACTCTTTGCTGTGAGCAAAGGATCAAAGCTAGGTTGCTATAAGGAGATGCCCTATGTGCCATATTATTTTTCACTCTAATTTCTCTCCCACTCTCTGTGCCTTTCCTCACAGTGTCTATTAAGTGATGGCAATAGTGTGTAAACCTCCCAACCCATGGAGTAGGGTCAGAATTAGGCAAAGTGAGTTCACCCATCTCCATTCTAAACAGAAACATCTTTAGTGTGGCCTCAGCTACTCCTTTATTCTCCAGAGTTAGTGCAGAAAGAGCCCGCTCTACCGGGATCTGGTTACTAATTCTGTACTCTACAGAGAAGTATTCCTGACAGATCAAGGTTTCCGCCCACCTTCTCAGTGAAGCTCCTCCCCCACGCACCTACCATCCATTTCAGGATCTGCTTTGAAATTGTTCTTCCTATTTTTAAAACTCTCCCTGGATTTGTTCCAGCCCATATCACAGGCCCTCTCTGCCCCCTCTCCCATCTCAGGCCTAGCACTGGCCTCCTCGCCAGCCCTTCACATAATCGCACCACGATTGGTGCAAGAGCCTTCTCCACTGGATCTTTGCATCCCTCTTGCCCCTGCCTTGTACCACTCAGTGTTTCTGCCCCTCTGTTACACGTTTGATTCTGTGAAACATGCTCAGCAGGGTGAACTTGCATGGGCCGTGTTGTGCTGTCACTCTAGAGGGAAAGCCTGCATGTGAAACCTTTGATTATCTGAAGCTGTACTGTGATCAGCACAAAACACACTGTACTCTGTTACTGCCGAGCAGCTTCAGAGACTCTCTTGTCGCTCTACTGCAGGGCACTCAGGTGAGCATTTGGATTTGTCTGGGATATGCTGAGATTGTGTTGTTCACACAGTCCAGACTTCTCAGTCGTTTCCTTTCTTGAGCATCAAGAGAGGCCTATGTCAACATCATACTTGTCCCCAAAATCAATAATTTCAGACTTGCTTTTGTCCTATTGAGTTGAAGGATCTCTTTAGAAGTGTCAGTTCAGATTTTCTGCCCAGTAAATACTAATAACTAAGGAAACGTAAGCTCCAATTTTCACCACAAAAGACAGACAGTCAAGTTGGGATGTTATTTTTCCTCGAGGTGATCCCTGGTGGATAAGCTACTGCAGTTTCATCAAGCAGCTCAGAGGGCGGGGAAAAGGCTGCTTTGAACACACAGGCAGCAAATATCCTGGCTTTGTCTCTGAGCCCCACAAACACACAGGACCACACTCAACCCTGCTGTAAGCAGGGGAGGCGCCTGGAAGTCAGGCGGGTGCAACTCTGTTGCCAACAGGGAACACGGGGCTCTGAGTTCAGTGTCCCTCACCCATTCACTGCACACAGGAGCAGAGCGTGAGTTCTGACTGCCAGCGAAGGCGACCGTGCCTGTTCTGTTACAAGACAGAGTGCTGGGACAAAGCGTCAGACGCTGCCATTTAGCAAAGTCCCTGGGCAGGGCTTAATTTGTAATGAAAGAGGTACCAGGGCTCAAGCAATTAGGTGCCAAGGCTCAAGCAATTTTTTTATTTTCATAATTGATGCAACAAGCCCAGAGGTGCCAGGGCTCTGAACTGCGAGGCCCAGAGGTGCCAGGGCTCTGAACTGCCCAGCCCAGAGGTGCCAGGGCTCTGAACTGCCAGGCCCAGAGGTGCCGGGGCTCTGAACTGCCAGGCCCAGAGGTGCCAGGGCTCTGAACTGCCAGGCCCAGAGGTGCCGGGGCTCTGAACTGCCCGGCCCAGAGGTGCCGGGGCTCTGAACTGCCAGGCCCAGAGGTGCCGGGGCTCTGAACTGCCCAGCCCAGAGGTGCCAGGGCTCTGAACTGCCAAGCCTTAGCACAACTTAAGCCCTGCCTCTGGGTAAGCCGGACAGTTGGCTCAGGAACTGTTTGTAACTAATACTCCAGTCACAGCCAGGGCTAAGGCGCAGATCTGCTTTTGAAATGACACTCAGCGCTGATGCCAGCTCCATGTTTGGGAGTTTGCATTAGCTGCCTGTGCCATTAAACATTGTGTCCTGCTCTTAACTGTTCAGCCTCCAAAGCCTTCTGCCTCCTTCCTGCTTGGGAAATGATTTCAGTTTGTATTCAGGTATTAGCAGTACTTTATGTTCAACCCCCACTTTGCCCTTAATCCCCATGTGAACGAAGCACGGAGTCCCCCAGCCCTGAACAGGTGAGAGATACCCCGCTAGCCCCAACACTGTCTGCCCAGATCTTTTGATTTGGTGTAAAGTTTAGTCCTTTTTTTTCCATTTTGTTACCCGGTGTTTGTAATGGTTTTTCCTGGCCCTGAGCCCTGCGTGCATTGTGAAGTTCTGCAACATCAGTGGGTAAGTGCCACGTAAAACACATCGTAATACAGAGGAACAATATGGCCTGATTCTGCTATCAGCCACACCAGCACAAATCAAGACTGACATCAGTAGAATGACCCCAATGTCAATCTGGTGAGAGATCCCCTCTGCTACTATGGGTCCCCTTGTATAAGGAGAAATTTCTCTTATAGTGAATGTGGCAAAAGAAAAATTATATTCTCACTGTTGCATTCTGCCATTTTATCCTGATTCTCACGATACTCCGTGTTTTCCTTAAAGCCTCGCCCCCTGGAATTATGCAAAGATAGGGGAATCTTGGTTTTCATTTAAAATAAACCAAAATACCAAAAACCAGAACATTTTCAAGCCCTTTAGCTTGCAAAGAAAACCTTCAAAGTGTGAACCCTAAATTCTGAAAAACCAGAAGGCAAATCAAAAGAACCCTACATTTATTATTTTTTAAAAAATCTCATGATTTTCAGGGGCCTGACTCATGTTTTTTGAATGCTAGGGGTTGGCTATGCTGTATCCTGGAGACTGGTGAGGAAAAAAAAACAATCTAGCCCTGAATGGAGAGTTTACTTGGAATGATGATACTACAGTGGGAACCAAGGGCTGTTTTTAATTCTGAGGTCATTGCTTAATTCCCAGGCACAGCTGTGCCAGACAGTCTCATAACCTAAAATATTGCCCATGAAGATACGGATCCACTGACCCAACCCAAATCGTGTTTAAATAAAAAGAAATGAACAAATTACAATTACAACACACTGAAGAAAGAATTTCTTTTGCTATAAGCAGCTGTCATAGCTGGCTTTGGGCCTGATCCTGTGTACTGGGTGCCCTGAAGTCCCAGTGATATCAATGGGAGAAGACGGTGCTCCACACGTCACAGGATCAGGCCCAGTTTAGGGCCCCTGACTATTTACACCACATCTGTACAACTGACGACCCCTCCATTCTTCCCGTGGAGCACACCGAGTTAAGTGACACGAGGCGGCAGACCGGGGCTCTTACCTTCTAGTCTCATTCCCACCGTCAAGCACTTCTGAAAGCGACAGTACGGACATCTCTTCCTCTGGGTTTTGTCGATTTTGCAGTTCTGGCTTTCGGTGCAGGTGTAGTGCTTGTTATTCTGCACGGTCCGCTTGAAAAAGCCCTGATGATAACGAGAGAAGGCAAAAATGCAGTGCATTAATACACCAGCATTTACAGTATGTCCAGGACTAAGCAAGCATCCTGGGGAAGGGAGGATCCTGCACTAGGCTGCTGTTTAACATAGATGATTTGTTCCTTGCCTGGAGAAATACTTTGCAGACCCACTGTCCTCGGGGCAGAGGAACAAGTGGCTTTGGGAGAGTTGGACACTACACATCGATTAAAATAGCATCTTAGGTGACTGAGCTCTGCTGTTGCCTAACAGTGCATCATAGCTGGTGGCTTTTATTTTCTTGGCCCCTATATTCTCGTTGGGGGAAATTACTTCAAAAACTGCAAGAACAAATTCTCTGATCTGGATTTAACAGCAGTGAGCAGTGCCATGGGGGAAGCACAATGCCAGAAAAGCTAACAGTAACAGACAGGAGCTGCAGAGCCAGAAGTCATGTATTTTTGTTCAAGTTTTTAAAAGACAAAAGGTTGCAGGCCTGGCTTCTCTCCCCCAATGTCTGAACTCCCTTGCCCTGAGAAGGTGTCTCTTCTCAGTCAGACATGAGATGAACTCCAGGAATCTGACTGCAAGACCACGGGAAACGTTTGATGTTTTTCATCTGCTTAGGACTCTGCTGAAATACGAGGGGCCTGATGCTCAGCTGGCGTAAAGGAGCGCACTATTCAAGGCAATGGAGTTACACCTATTTACAGCAGCTAGTGCTGAATGCTTAGAAATGCCAGGGCTCCAGGGGGAAGCCAGTGAGGCCATTGCTTTCCTTTTGTAGATTTCTTTTTTAAACAAATTTGGGGAATTGTGAAGAAGATGAATCCGGCCAGGGGGGAACGGCAGCCTGCCTCTCAATCTTCATTAATAATGTAGGTTAAAAAGGGGCCTGCTCTTTGAATACAAATCTGTGTCTATAGCGTGATTTATGTCTTTAAAGATCTGGACAAACATTCGCCCAAAACCTGTGAGAGGCAGCTCAGCATTACCACCCCCATTGGTCAGAGAGAGCAATGAAGATACTGGGATACTTCAGTGGGCCCCTTAGAAAGGCCCCAGAAAGACCCATGTGAAGCAGACCACAGAGCAGGATACCAGCAGAACCCTGCTCAGTCCAGCACCCACAGGGCCTCTGCCTCTCCAGAATGCCCCCCGGGACAGACGCTCATGTGCTGTTGGCTTGCCCCCAGAGGGGAACCGGGGCTCAGGCAGAAGGAAATGCAGGGCCAGGCTGTGTCTGCACAGGGCCTGTGGGTGCGATGCTCCCCACCGAGAGCAAGGAGACTGTTTAACATTATTCAAAAGCAATTTGAGAGCTGCCCCCCCCCGTTTTAAGGAGTCCGATTTAGCCCCCAGTCTAAAGCCTCTGAAAATAAAACACAGCCAAGGGCTGGCTGTTCCGGGAGGCCGCATTTAAACTAGGATCTTTTCAGCTTCTGCAATTCCTCCCCAGCCCCAGGCAGGTGGAGGGATCTTGCTGTTCTCTGGTTGGTGCTATGGAAAAGACCCCACTTCCCCCTGCTCCCCCCTTAAACCAGAAACTACAGGTAGCAACCAGCCTCCAGTTTGCAAAAGATATTTGCCATTGCCTGGGAGATTCTCCCATTTCACCTTATTACACCTTCAGGCCGGACACATACAAGCAGCGGATGGGAAATAAAGGGGGAGGAAAACCCGTTCAGAGGTCAGGGGAGCCGCTTTCCTTCCAGAGAGGCCTCGAACAGCGGCCCCCCCCCCCCCCCGTACTGCGTCCCTCACCCAACATCAGCCCCCGCAGTAACAACAAAACTCTGCCCGATTCGGCTTCGCTTTCCACCAGTCACTTTGGTATTTGGTTCCGCGATTTTCTCCCTGTCTCCGGCACTTCTAAAGCGCCGGTCACCTGCACTGCCGCTGAATTGCGAGGGGATTTGGACAGGATACCCCATCAACCCAGCGCGCTCGGATCGCCTTAGATGCCCCGCAAGTTACAGCGGGTCTGATGCAGCCTGTCCCCCGGCAGCCAGGCAGCCTTGCGGGGGCACCTTTCCCCCGCGGCCAGCCCAGAACGATGCCCGATGAAATGACACAGGACAGCGCTCAATTCGATTCCATTTGAGAGCAAACAACACTCCTGGGGCTCGGTATCTTTCGTTGTGTAGATTAGTGGTGCAAGCAACGGTGCACCCGTCTGACTGCGAAATAAAAACAACCCGCACCACTGAGCGGGCTAATTATAGGGTTAACGTTTTTAAACTGGAAAAAAAATCCCTGAACCATTTGATTTAATTTATTTTGATTGCTATAAAATTAATATTTCCTAATAGTTCTTCTAAAGAGCTATTTAAAAAATCTCTAACGACCCTAAACATCTATTTTGTTTTGATGAGCCGAAGAGTCAAACGGAAAATAAAACACAGCTATGATAAGCACTCTACCTCGGCAACTCGCTTGCGCCGTTTAAACTCAATGAACTTGGGGAAATGCGGGTACATAAATCCGGAGCGAAATGATTCTACCTGCTCCGGAGTTACACTCCGGCCATAGATCTCGGAGTGACTGCACGCTATCCTGTGGAGGAAACAATTCACCCCACGGACTGGCTACACTTTCGTTTTAACAAATTACATGACACGTAGCTAAACCTGCGCAGAAACGTGTCTTATGTGCGTACAAAAATAATATTAATTTGCACGTCGATCTACTTTCACACACTAGCACGGGGGGCGGATTTTGTTGACTAAAACCCCCTCGGGCCAGCGGTTTGCGTGACTTCCCCCGGCAGTTTAATCGGGGTTTGTAACAGAAACACTAAATCCAGCCGCACTCCGACGCTTTACAGCAAAGCGGAATTATTTCAGTACTCCCCGCGTGCAGGCTGGGCTGGTTTGTAGACCCGGGGACTAGTGATACAATCCGCTCACCCCGCTCATTTCTACTCCAAGAACAGAAATTATTTTCGTTCTTTCATTATCCGTTGTCACATCTCCCCGATGTGACCTGTGCACCCCGGCGAGTGTTTCCCTCACAGGCGCTGGGCCGCGGACTTGGCATTTCTTATGGTCAAAATGCAAGTTAGGTTTGGAAAGTTCAGCTACCCCCAGCTCCTGTACTTGCGGAGCGGCTCAAGAAAAGTGAAGCCCCTTCGCTGACATTCACACGAGCTTCAGACTCTCCAAGCGCAAAGCGTCGCACTATCAAACCCGCCGAGCGCTTCGCCCAGGAACTGACTCCCGATTTTATGGAAAACGATATTTGCTCCGTCCCGCGCTCCCGGCTAAAACCCAGGCTGGGCACCGGCCGGGGGGATCGGGGCTTTCCACGGCGAACGAACACCCCGCGGCATGGATTCGCCAGGCACCTCTGGAGAGTTCAAACCCCCAGCCCGACGGACCTCGCCAGCTCTGCAGCGCGGGGAATTAGAGCACAACGATTTCCCGGCCTTGCGGATCCATCCCTAAGTCCTGCCAACGAAACCCTGCAGGGGCCGGGGTGCCCGCCCTGCCCCCGCTCGCCCTTGGCTGGGGCCGGCGGCTAGGGGCCCCTTTCGGGGCGAGCCTCCCCGGCTCGCGGCGGAGCGAGGAGACTGGAGCCAAGCCCGCCTGGAAGGGGCGATCGGACCAATTCCTCCTGGGCCCTTATGGATAGCAGCCAGCGCGTCCTGCCCGGCCCCGCGGGCGGTTTCCTACCTTGCAGCTTTCACAGGTGAGCAGCCCGTAGTGGTACCCGGAGACCTTGTCCCCGCAGACAGGACACAGCTCATCCAGGTCCTCATCGTAGGTATAGTCCATCACCTCCAGCGGCCCGCCTGCGGGGAACGAGAGCGGGTCAGCGCGGGAGGAGCCGTGGGGCCGGCCCGGCGGGGAGGCGCGGAGCGGAGCGCGGGGCGCTGCGGAGCGTGACAGGCAGGTGGCGGGTGCTGCGGGCGGACCCTTTATAGCGCCTGAGGCTGCACATCCAGGCTGGTGCGGGGAAGTGACCACCCCCGAGGGGCGGCAAGCCCGCCTGTGGGGGGGCCGCAGCAGCCGCGGGGGGCTGGGAGCAGGGCGGGGGCGGGGGAAGGGACCTGGAGGGCAGGGCCGGAGACTCTGGTGCCACCCTCGGCTTTCCCGCTCTGGGCGCGGGGCTGGGGTGCCAGGGGCCGGGCGCGGGGCTCGGGCTACCCGCCTGCCCTGGGGGTGCTGGGGCCGTGCGCCGTGCCCGGGAGCAGCGAGGGGTCTGGGCTCCAGCGGCGCCCTGCCCCGAGGAACTCACGGGGACAGGCCTGGGGCCGAGAGGGGAACCGCCCGTGCCCAGCTCCGGGTCCCGCTGGCCGGGCGCACTCGGGGGCCGGCTGGGGCCGGGGGCTAAGCGGGGGCAGGTCTTGGCTTTGCCCGTCGCTGCTCCAGGGGCCCGGACGCGCCTCGGCTGTGGGGCGCGGGGAGAACCGCGGGCACCTCTGGGCTTGTCACCGCGGGAGCTGCCGCCGGGCAGCAGCCAGGGCCCGAGCCCGGCCCCACCTCGGCGGCTCCACTTCGCTGCAAGCGCAGGCGGGACTCAGCTCCCCGCGCCGACGGCACCGCCAGCACCGGGCCATGGGCAGAGCGGGCCCGGGCCCTGCAGGGTCCCGCCGCCACCCCTGGGCGAGGGGGCCCGAGGCCCCGGCCCGGCTCTCCGGGGAGCCTGGAGCGGTCCCGGGGCGGCGGGGAAGGGGCGCGGGGGACTCGGACCCTGGGCTGCAGCGGCCTGGCAGGCAGAGAGCGCCGGGCAGGGCCGCCCCAGGGCTTGCCCCGCGCCGGGTGACAGGCTCAGCGGTGCCGCGGGGCTCGGACCCGTGCCCGGGCGGTGCCCTGCAGGGAGCCGTCCCGTCCCGGCTCCTCGGAGATCACTAGAGCCTCCCCTACCCCCCTCCTCCCGCTGCGCCCCCCCGGCTCTAGCCCGGCACGGCTCGGAACGGCCCCCGCACAACGCCTGCCAGGGCCGGGCCCTGGGCAGCGCAGCGCGCCCCACACTGGACCATGGTTCCGGCACCCAGGGGGAGGTGGGCCCCGTCTCCAGGTGCCCAGATCCCGCCGCTCAGCTCCGCGGGCTCAGAAACACCCGGCCCGGCCCCGGGGAGCAGCGCGAGGGGAGCAGGCGCAAATGTCGCGCTAACCCTCATGGCGCGCAGGGGCAGTTTGCGGCCCCGAGAGCCGGGCCGGTCCGGGCCGTGCTCCCAGCGGGTCCGTCTGGGACTCGCCCGGCACCGGGGGCTCCCTGCTGGCTGGGGAGGAGCCGGCCGGGCTCTGCCCTCCTGGTTCTCTGACTCCCTCCCGCTGCAGGAGCGTTGCAACAGGCGGGTCCTGGCGGCCCAGGTCCGTCCCCGGGCGCGCACGGGCCGGGGGGCTGCATCACACGCGCCCACGGAACCCCCGGCCTGGGCAGCGGCTGCTCCCCGCCCGGTTCCGGCGCCCCGGCCCTGCGGGGTCTGGGATTTCCCTGCCCCAGGCCTGCAGCGCTCACAGGGGGAAGCGCAGGGCTCCTAGGGGCCCGGGGGTTCTGTTTGCACCGGCTTCGGGGCGCCTCAGGGACCCACGTAGGAGACCAGCTGCCCGGGAGCCGGTCTCAGCTCCTAACCAGGGCAAAGCCCAGGGGCAGAACCACACACCGACCATGGAAACCCGCCCAGGGCCCGACCCAGCTCAGTGGGGAGCGCCCCGAACCGCCGCTCGAGGCCGTGGGGATGTGGGGGGCTCAGCACCTCCCCGGAGGCGCTCGGCTCCCGGCCGGCTCAGTGGGGCTCCCCACAGCCCCCGGCCACAGCGCCCGGCTTTGCTCCAGGAGCTGCCCTGCAGGGTCCGGCCGCCCCCCCAAACCTGCCCCCGCCTCAGCCCCGCGCGCAGCACCCCGCGCACTAACGCGGACCAGACGCTGCCTTTGCTAACGCCGAAGCAGTGGCACCATGGCCAGACCCCCGCTCCCTGCCCGCGGCCCTTCATGCAGCCCCTTGACCAGGTCAGAGCCGGCGCTAGGCGTAAGCAGACTAAGCAATTGCTTAGGGCCCAGAGCTGCTCAAGGGGCCCCCATTTGTTTTATATTATGTGCTGGGAGGGGGAGGGGGGAATATATCCCCGCCACTGCCCCCCCCCCTCAGTATTTAGCCAAGGGGATGGTGCTGCCCCCCCCCCCAGGGCACTGAGATCTGATGCTACATTTGACCAGCTCTCTACAGCAGCAGTTTCTCAAACCTTGCCCAGATCAGGGACCAACTTGCTGCCCCCTGAACTGTGCCAGGGAGATCCCAGGGACCGTGCTGGTTCACAGACCCGTCCTTGAGAAACACCGCTCTAAACAACAATACCCCCCCCCCCCCAACAAAAAATTAAAGGGCCCCCAAGCAGTTGAAGCCCCTTAAATAATGAGCGACGAACCTGGGTTTGAAAGGTGGCTGGAGCAGGCCTGTGAGCAGAGGGGATTATTACATTGGGCCCTGTGGCTCTGCGCTCTAAGACGGTATAAAAGAGCAGTGAAAAGAGCTGTCCTCCGAGCGCTGCCAGGAGGCTGCCACCTAGGGAAGATGGCCCTGGTCTGTCCCGGAGACAGGGGAGAGCGCTTCCCCCTCTGCGAACACTTGTCTAGTGCCAGGGCCCACTTGAACGCAGCAGCACCCTGGCAGTCACACGCAGCCCCGAGGCCTCTCCCCTGCACTCGCGCCTGGGGAGGCCTAGCAGACAGCTGGCCCGCAGCGCAGTGCACCCCCAGGCTTCGCCAGGGCCTAGCGGCGAAGGCTGAGCAGATGGGCTACAGGTTGGGTTTGAACTGGGGCTTGCTAAACTCCACCTCTACCCTGGGCATGACACAGCCTAAGAGCTTCCCCCACCCTCTTGGGCACCTCCTGCACTGTCAGCCACAGGTGAGGGAAGGCCCCAGTAGTGTGATCGCTGAGCTGAAGGCTCAGCTTAGGGCCATGGTGAAGGGGGCAGAGTTAAGGTAATATAATATAATATGGAGATATACCTATCTCATAGAGCTGGAAGGGACCACTGAGCTATCCCTTCCCCCCCAAGGTGGGGGTTGGGAGGGCAGGGTCTGGCCGTCATTTCCTCAACTTTGTCCCTGCTGGTTTTCAGAGGTTTGTATTTAGCCACCCTCCTCCTTCCGGCAGTCAGTGCCAGCCTCAGCCCTGGAAAGGCGGGAGGTGCTCATGTTTCCAAGTCTCTTCCGAGGCACCATAAACACGGGAAAAGCAGCTGCGAGACAAACCTGCACACCCCCATGGTAGCAGATGTCATCCACAGCCCAGGGCCTAGGAGAGCCGGACTACAGGGTGAACTGTAGTTCAATCACTGAAGCTGTAGAGGGCCCAGAGGTGACCAGAACTCAGCAGCCTCTTAAAAATCAGCTGAGCCTGTTCTTAGTGTAGTTACTGGCTTCTCATTCCCCTGAAGGGCTGTAGAAATCCTTCTAATGATCTAGATCAGGGCTAGGCAACCTATGGCACACGGGCCGAAGGCGGCACGCGAGCTGATTTTCAGTGGCACTCACACTGCCCAGGTCCTGGCCACCGGTCCGGGGGCTCTGCATTTTAATTTAATTTTAAATGAAGCTTCTTAAACATTTTAAAAACCTTATTTACTTTACATACAACAATAGTTTAGTTATATATTATAGACTTATAGAAAGAGACCTTCTAAAAACGTTAATGTATGACTGGCACGCGAAACCTTAAATCAGAGTGAATAAATGAAGACTCGGCACACCACTGCTAAAAGGTTGCCAACCCCTGATCTATAGTGATGTGATGGTAGGAAAGCTTCACCTCCTTAGCCAGAGATGGGCCTTTAGCTGCTGGTTTTATGCTTGCTCGGGCCCAGCCCTTGGAAACCAGGAACGGCTCCATTTCTAGTTACTCAAATCCACAACCTGATAATTGAATCTCAGCTGAAAACTCCAGCACCAGCTTAGCACTCAGTGCAGACTCCTGAGCTCTGTTCTACCTCTGCCGCCCACCTTACTCTGGGACCTCGGGCGGGCAATTTAACCCAACCATAAAATGGAGATGAGAATATCACCCCCTGACTTTACCAGGGACCTGGGATTAGTCCGTCAGTAAGGAATTCCAGATTGTCCCGTGCTTTGAGATCCTCAGCTGAAAGGTGCTGCAGGAGTGCTATGTGTATTAGAACATTTGAATCCTTCGCTAGGGAAAATTAATAATGTCGATAACAATAGACAACTATAGGAGCATTGCACATGCCCCGCCTGGAGTAACTAATGCAAACGGTGACCTGATCCCCTTAGCTGATGGCAGTTACTCAATGCTGGGATTTAATTCATTGCTTCACTTAGTTTAGAGACACTTAATGAAACATTGCATGGCAGCGAGATCAGAGCACAGCTTACTCCGGAACACACTAATGTGCACCGTACATTTTCTACTGATCAAGTGGGTTTTGTTCTGTTAATGGAAGTTTGCTGCTTGCAGGCAGGTATGAACCCCGCACCACAATCACCCATCACGTTGCATTTGAGAAAACAGGAATCAAGGCTTTACACAGCAGATCAGTGAAGGCTCCCCACAGACACGCTATCCCACCCCCCCACAATCCTCCCACACAATATCCCACCCCCCATACTCACACACACTATCCCACCCCCCACAATCCCCCCACACACTATCCCCCCCCCACACACACATTCCCACCCCCTTCACATATACACAAGAGGCCTAATAATAACGTCACAGCGAAACCCCTCTGTAGCAGGCGCACCGTATGCGGTGGCCAGCACTGATGTTACAAAGAGAAGCGCATCACAGGGTTCTACAAGTGTC